TCTTTATGTCAATCTGTCTGTCTGTCTGTCTTTTTGCTGGTCTGTCGTTCTGTTATTTTATCCGTCTGTTTGTCTGACTGTCTGTTGTTCTGTCATTCTGTCTGTTGCTCTGTCAGTCGTTCTGTCTGCCGATCTGTCTATTTGTCTGTCTGTTGCTTTGTCTGTCTGTCATTTTCTCTGTCTGTCATTCTGTCTGTTTGCTGTTCTGTTTATTTCTCTTTCTGTCTGTCTGTTTGTCATTCATTCTTTCTGTTTGTCTGTCTGTTGTTCTGTCATTCTGTTTGTCATTCTGCCTTTCTGTCTGTTATTCTGTGAGTTAATCTGTCTGCCAGCATGTCTATTTGTCTGTCTGTCGTCTTGTCTATCTGTCCTTTTGTATGTCTGTCCATCTGTCTTTCTGGCTGTCTGTCATTCTGTTGTTTTGTCTGTTTGTCATTCTGGTAATTTATCTGTCTTTGTCGTTATGTCTGTCTGTCTGACTGTCTGTCTGCCTGTCTTTTTATCTGTTTGTTGTTCTGTCTATTTGTTCTTCTGTCTGTCTGTTGTTCTGTTTATCTGTCTGACTATCTATCTGTAACTCTGTCTGTCATTTTGTTTTTTCTTCTGTCTGTCTTGCTGTCCATCTGTTTGTTTGTTGCTCTATCTGTCTGTCGTTCTGTATATCTGTCTGCAAACGGAATGTGGGACAGGGGAGCTCTGAAGAAACGGCTGCTGGATATAATGATGATGTTCTGGATTCAGAAGTTCCTCTTGTACGACGTCTGTCGTTCTGTCTGTCGTTTTATCTAGGAATGTGTCTGTCTGTCTGTCTGTCTGTCTGTCTGTCTGTCTGTCTGTCTGTTTGTCTGTCTGTCATTCTGTCATTCTCTCTGTCTGTTTGTCATTCTATCTGTCTGTCATTCTGTCTGTCTGTCCTTTGTTCTGTCTGTCTGTCAATTTGTCTGTCTGTTGTTCTGTCTGTCATTCTGTCGGTTTGTCTGTCTGTCGTTCTGTCTATTTGCTGGTCTTTCTGTCTGTCTGTTATTCTGTCTGTAAACTGAATATGGGAAACTGAAACACAGGAGAGCTTTGAGAAAGCAGCTGCTGGATATAATGGTGATGTTTTGGATTCACAGGTTCCTCCTGAAGCCGGATTTTATGCGGAGACCCGATCGTATGTTTGACCCATTCTCTGAGACGCCTGTGGATGGAGTGATCGCAGCAACATGCAGCGTGCAGGTTAGTGTTTTTTATAATAATAATAATTCCTTACATTTATATAGCGCTTTTCTGGGCACTCAAAGCGCTTTACACAATGGGGGGAATCTACTCATCCACCACCAGTGTGCAGCATCCACCTGGATGACGCGACGGCAGCCATTTTGTGCCAGACCACACACCAGCTGATTGGCGGAGAGGAGACAGAGTGATGATATGGGGAAGGTTAGGAGGCCATGATGGACTGAGGCCAGATTTGGCCAGGATGTCGGGGTTAAACCCCTATTCTTTTTCGAAGGACATCCTGGGATTTTTAACGACCACAGAGAGTCAGGACCTCGGTTTAACATCTCATCCGAAAGACGGCGCTTACTGAGCAGTATAGAGTCCCCGTCACTATACTGGGGCATTAGGACCCACACAGACCACAGGTTGAGCGCCCCCTGCTGGCCTCCCTAACACCACTTCCGGCAGCAACCTAGCTTTCCCATGTGGTCTCCCATCCAGGTACTGACCGGGCGTAGCCCTGCTTAGCTTCAGTGGGCGACCATGTGAGAGTTGCAGAGAGCTAGCTAGCTTTTCTTTATTTAGAAACTCTGTAATTTCTATATTTATGTAATGTATATTACAATTGAATTATTGGCCCTTCTGAATTGTTAGGTCCCTTAATTATCAGCTATATTTTCCCCAATTTCTGTTTCATGGAAGGATGTTTTTTTTAGTTTCTAGCAACTGATTAATTTTTTCTGTGCCATGATGACAGTAAATAATATTTCAGTAGATATTTTTCAAGATACTAGTATTCAGCTTAAGGCTCAAGTTAGGGTAATTAGGCAAATCATTGTATAACAGTGGTTTGTTTTATAAATAATAATATTATATAATTGACCTTAAAATGCTTATAATATTGACCCTACACTGCAAAAAATGCTTTTCTTGCTTAGATTTTTTGTCTTGTTTCTAGTCTAAATATCTAAAATTTCATATATCAAGAAGCATTTTTTTAGACAAGCAAAACATATTGCCTTGTTTTGAGAAATAATATGCCAATATTAAGTCAGTTTTTCCTTAAAACAAGCAAAATAATCTGCCAATGGGGTAAGCAAAATAATCTTATGTCTAAAGAAAAAACAAGATTATTTTGCTTAACCCATTAGCAGATTATTTTGCTTGTTTTAAGGAAAAACTGACTTAATATTGGCATATTATTTCTCAAAACAAGGCAATATGTTTTGCTTGTCTAAAAAAATGCTTCTTGATATATGAAATTTTAGATATTTAGACTAGAAACAAGACAAAAAATCTAAGCAAGAAAAGCATTTTTTGCAGTGTAGGGTCAATATTATAAGCATTTTTAAGGTCAATTATATAATATTATTATTTATAAAACAAACCACTGTTATACAATGATTTGCCTAATTACCCTAACTTGAGCCTTAAGCTGAATACTAGTATCTTGAAAAATATCTAGTGAAATATTATTTACTTTCATCATGGCAAAGAAAAAATTATCAGTTACTAGAAATTTAAAAAAAACATCCTTCCATGAAACAGAAATTGGGGAAAATAATGCTGATAATTAGGGGACCTAACAATTCAGAAGGGCCAATAATTCAATTGTAATATACATTATATAAATATAGAAATGACAGAGTTTCTAAATAAAGAAAAGCTAGCTAGCTCTCTGCAACTCTCACATGGTCGCCCACTGAAGCTAAGCAGGGCTGCGCCTGGTCAGTACCTGGATGGGAGACCACATGGGAAAGCTAGGTTGCTGCCGGAAGTGGTGTTAGTGAGGCCAGCAGGGGGCGCCCAACCTGTGGTCTGTGTGGGTCCTAATGCCCCAGTATAGTGACGAGGACGCTATACTGCTCAGTGAGCGCCGTCATTCGGATGAGACGTTAAACCGAGGTCCTGACTCTCTGTGGTCGTTAAAAATCCCAGGATGTCCTTCGAAAAAGAATAGGGGTTTAACCCCGGCATCCTGGCCAAATCTGTCGTCTGGCCTCAGTCCATCATGGCCTCCTAACCTTCCACATA